ATTTATTTTTCTTTTCCTAGTTGATAGATCTAGCCAACTCCAATCTATTTATGAGATCTAATCTAATTAATTTGAGTTTTATTTTAGAGTTGGTATTTATTTACTTTCTGTACCTATATATATTTATTATTTTGAATCCGTTTGAACAGGGTCTGTCATACGAGAAAAGAAACTGCAAGTAGCTAGCCAAACCCCTCAAATACGTAATTGTTTGAGTGGTTTCAGTACCAAGTAGCGATCAGTGCCGCACTTATGAGGTAAGTAGTCTAGTTGATCTGTTCACACAGATAAATCCAACAACTTAAATCAGGTCCTTTTAGCTCTCAAGGTCGTTGACAAGTTAAATCCTATAGACATTTTTAGGACTGCTTAGTAGCGAAGAACCAACTAATGAACGTTTCTTGGTTGGTTTAAGAATAAAGAATGATTGGTTTTTAGAATTTTTTTGACAACTATAACTGATTTGCCATATTTTGGGTAAAACGAATTATTGCATCTATGATCAATTACATTACTGAAGCTAGCTATTTTGTCCACTAGGAATTCTTCTTATAATTATTTTAGTTTCTATAGCCAAGAGTTTGTTTAATATTATTCTGCTTATTGTTTATTTCATATTTTGCATATTAGATTCTATGAATCTCTCTCCCCCCTTGTTTGCTTTTTACTCGTTGGTAAAAAAAAAAATTAGTTTCCAAGTTCTTGTGGATTTGATCATTCTTACCACAACTAGAATATTATTTTATTGGTTAATTAGGAATTTATTTTTTATAGATTCGACACTCATCAAGAATCGACATGTGTGTTTTGATTTGCTTTGTCTCCCTCATGCGCACAAATCTCTGTAGTTAGATCGTCGTAAACTGACATCCATGCGTAAATCAACGTTTTTTCTCCAGACAAGGCCGTCGCACACAGTCCCTCTTCTTCTCCAGTCACGCCGTTGCACGAAGCACCAGTTTCTTGTTCTTCATCTCATTCTTATTCTTTTTCTTCTTCTTCTTCTTCTTCTTTTTCTATTTCCCTTCTCTACGCTGTTGATCGATGAGCCGTAACCTCCTCTCTTTCTTTCTTTCTCTTTCTCTCTCTCTGCTCAGATCTCTTCTATCTCTTCGCACAACTCCCTTCTTTCACAACTCTCTCTTCTTTTTTTATAGCCTGAATGGAAAAGAGTTCCCCTTCTTCAATGGGTTTTAGAGGCATACACGCCTCTATTTCTTTTCTTAATATTCAAAATCGTATCATATGCCTCTATTTCTTTTCTTAATATTCAAAACATACATTTGAGGTTTCATAAAACATACATTTGACTTTTTTTTTTTTCTAAGCCCAGGTTTGGGCTGGTTTTGTTTTTCTCTAAGCTTGAATATTACAAATAACAGTTAATTATTATATAACCTCTAAACAAAAGAACTAGATTGATAATTATGTTACGAGATAATTAAATATCAAAAAATGAAAAAGAAAATCTTTAAGCATGTCTAAATTTTTAATTGTAAATGACAAGCGGCATCTAGATGAACTATAATTAACTTAAAAAACTATAATTAACCAAAACGGCTAAATTATATATAATAATAAAAATTGAAAGACCAAATAATGACTAAATAACCTAAATAAATTAATCCAGAATCTATTTTTATAAATTATTTAAATATATTAATTAAAAATATTAATTAAACAGATACGTACATATATTGAATCGGTATATATGTATACATAATTATTAATTAATAATATACAAATTTTAATTTTTTTAAAAAGTCACTGCATATTTAATATATTAATATTTTATTTTTAATAAATTTAATCAAAATAATGAGACAAATCGAACTAATTTCTTTAACCGATTTAATTTTTCAGTTCCCTGGGTTTTTCTCGCGCCTATAAACTCTGTAGTCGTCATTATTGGAAAAGTGGAAGGATGATATAGATATTTTGTTTGATCAAGAGGACAATATAGGAATTTAAGTCGGTAGATTCGCACAAGTGTCGATTGACATTTCATTATTCTCTATCTGGGTTTCGGTAGTCTTTTTGACTTCTGTGTCTACGATCTAATTTCCTTGAAATTGCAGAGTTCTTTTTGCTGAATTTCTCGGGGGTTTTTATATTATTGTAATACATCAGTGGGTCTTTAATCTTCGTTGGATTCAGATTTTGGGTTAAAAGTTCTCTGCTGATCACAGTTTGTACTGGGTAGATCTTATATGGTGATTTATATTCGCTTTCTCGATTTTCTTTTATGTTAATTGCTACTAGTTTCTGTGGGTATGATGCGCTCCATTTTCTTTTGCTTTGGATTTTTTTTTGTCTTTAATGTAGCGGCTACTTTGTTCTTAGTGTACATATAGTTGTATATGTGGAATATCTTTATGTAATTTAGTTCTTCATTTTAGTGTGCCAGCAGCTATATTTTCTTTTGCCCATTTATGAGTCCCATTTTCTTCCAATTCTCCTTTTTTCTTAAAGATTTTGAACATACCTCTGTTATGCGTGATTTGCCTTCTTTGGGTATTTTGGTATGTGAATGGAAGAAGACGATTGATTTTTTTTAATATTAAACTTATTTGTTTTTTAATAATAATTGCAGTTGCTTGTTTTTATATTTTGGATTTTCTCAATTTTTTATTTAACTTAATTAGATTTTTGTATTTGTTTTTAGATTATGTCTAAATTACATTTGTAGTGGATTGAATAGACGACTTTGGGTGGCTTTTAACTTTCAATTTAGATTATTTTTTTAAATTCTGGAGCATTTGATACTGGTTATTTGAAATATAGAATAGAGGGAAAACCTGCTTGTTTGAATTCAAGTTTTTGTGGGTAACAAAAACTTGTTTGTTGGAGAATAATAATAAAACTGTGATATCAGGTGGAATTCCAACTGTCCAGTTTCATGTCTAATTTGTTTTTTGGTACTTGACATAGATATTCAGTGGTCATCATATTGATAAGAAGTTTGGCTTTTTCAGGTAGTTTTTCTTAACTATCAAGCTGCCAATGCGTGCTCCCTCCTTGCTTGCACAATGCTTGCCGGGCTTGGTGCCCCAAGATCGTGGCAGTGTATCAACAATATCGGACAGGGATATGCACCTACCTTCACCAGCTGTGGAAATTCTTCCCTCTAAGGTGTATTTCCTCTCCCTGTCATGAGAAATAACATTCACCTGATGTTTTAATTATAGCAATAACTCTTGTAGGGCATCTCTAAATGCCTATTCTGCTAATGACACACTTGTTTGTTCTCCCATGTTTTCTGATATCTTGAAGTACTGTCTTACACACTGTTATCTAGAAATGTTTGCTAGAAAGTGGACAGGAAACTGCATTATGTTCTTAAGATGAATTATTTGTTTTAGAAGCAACATTTGTGAGAATATTCACTTACTTCTTATTAAATACCAAAAGCCAAGTTTTGATTCTTGTTTAAGACATTGTCCATTTTCTACTGTGCAGGCAGTTCATCCATATAAGTATATGGGGGAGAATGTAGACCTTCAAGGCCTCAATGTATTTAGGGTATATAAATTCCTTAGACATGCTTTTGGCATTAATCGATCTGCATATCTATATTTCTTTCATGGTGAAATTTTGTGGAAACTAAATACAAGACAATATGGTGAAGTCTTTCACTTGGTTCATCTCTCATATTATTACATTCCGTACTCTGAAATAAGCTTAGGTTAGTTTTCGTTTTTTCAGTATTTGAGAGGCAACTACATTCTAATTACAAAGTATTAAGACCTGAAACATGAACACAAAAAGGTGTTTGGCTAGGGAAATGTTTATCCATGTATCTTGTTTTTTTCCACAATGGAGATGATGTAGCAGAAATATTCAGTGGGAAGTCCACAATGCTGGCTTCAAAGTTCTATTTTTCATCCTTTTCTCTTTCTTTTCCCCTATGTCATCAGTGAAAGGTATAAATGGTAAAACTTTTTAATAAATTCCAAGTGTAACTTACCTCAGATACCAATATAAGTGCAATCCAAACATTTTTCATAAAGACCCCTTTTTTCAGGCATATCACAGCTCTAGACTTTTGAAGTTAATGTAAAAGTTTTCTTGTAGACTCAGTATACAGGACTAAGGCTGATCTTCCTGATTAGGAATTATGTGTGGAAGTTAGATATCACACTTAGGGTTTCTTAGATATAACACATAAAAGTTGGATAACTAGGCATCACAACTAAAGGGTTGCTTGCACATATTATTTACAGAACAATGTGCTGAGGAATTTCTTTATATCTATATGAAATAAAATTGTGGATTATTCATGAGCTCCCATTTATTTGAAATCTAATTTAACTTGAAAGGTACAATCGAATACTTAAAGAATGTAAACCATAAATAGAATCATAATACTACTACGGCTCTTACCCATACTATTAGAAAAAGATTCCAGATTCGGAAAAAAAATATAATCTTTATCTATTAAGAGAACCCCAAGTAACCAATAATTTTCTGCATCACTGAGTGCATTTCATTATCTGATGTCAGAAAGTTCTTATTCTATGTCTAATTAGATTTTTTTATAGCCAACTTTATGGTTCTTCCCCTTCCACTTTTTTCATATTTGTTTATGTCTAAACTGCTGATGTCAACAAAGTTCCCCTCCATTTATTCATTTCATATTTTTAGCTTTTTAAGTTGTCCCCCCACCCCCTCTCTATATGCAAGGGGAAGAATTGCAAGCTTGTTTATTGCATTCTTTGACTTCTTGCAGGGAAGGATTAGTGTTGCTGATATCATTGGGTTTTCTAGTTCAGAAGTTATATCATCAAAACATGATGGTGAGACATCACATTTTGAGGGCAAAGCTGCTCCTCTTGATTTGCATCAAGTGGAGAAGGATATGAATATCATCTTGGTGTTTGAATTAGTTTTTTATATCATTTTTCCCAACAAGTATTTTAATGGATTGGATTTACCATATCAATTGTAATTAAATTTGAGCTTTACATTTGATTGTGCAGCCTCTATGAAATCTTGGGATGGTTCTATAGATCTCGTTAATGTCCTTAAGAATGAGATTCGGGATGGACAATTGAGGTTTAGAGGAAAAAGGGTACTTGAGGTAATCCGGCTTCCCAAAGTTTTGATAACTGCTGGTTATTTTTTTCAAGGGTTTTTAAACTAAACTAGATCATTTAGTATATCTATAACTTATCCAAATTAATGCTTATTCTTCTTCTAATGAAATTTCCCTTTCCTATAAAAGGGAATATGCAAATAAATTTAATGATTTTGGGTTTTCTTTTGATTTTTTTTTTCAAATTGCATTTTGTGCTATCTCCTGTTAGGTACTGCAGTATCAATCTTTAAAACCCAATATTAATGTGTGCTTTCTGGGAATATTCTATACAGTATAGGTATATGTTTAATTTGAATTCTTGTGAAAATGTTCTGCTGCTTTTTAGATAAATAAGAATGTTTTACTTGCTACTAGAGGATATCATTCCCTCTATCGATTTGTTTGCCCCCTTCCTCAAAATTTAATTATTTATATATTTATTAAATATATGTTCTCCTGATTAATTTGGACCATTTTAGAGCTTTGGGTGCCATATATATCCTTCCTCTTCTGCTGTGCTGCCAATTGTTTTTTTCCGCTGCAGTCAGTAGAGCTGGTAAAGTTTGACCCGACACAATTGCATGGCCCCATTGAGAATGAATTGAGTTTAGGTTCAGAGTAAGCAGGCTATATCCATTTAAACATGACAAGAATCGTGACTAAACAGATCAAAGCTAGTTTAGCCAATTTTGACAGGATGTTATTATCAGCAAAGGAAACAAAGATAATGGAAGAACAAAAACAGTGGCAATGCAGGCCGCACACGGGAGAGAGTAAATCTAGCCTGCTCTTCATAAGCTTTGTTGGTTTAAGTTTTTGGAAAAACAAGATATTTAGGATAAGAGTTTGGATTAAAATAGGATATTTTTATATTGGTTAGAAGTTTTCAGTTTAGATGTTTCCTTAGTAATTTTATCAATTAGGACTCATTTAAAAAAAAAAAAAAATTATCAATTAGGACTTCCAAATAAAATAGGAAACTCTTATGATCAGGAAATTTTTGTATCTGGGAGATTTTATATCTGTTAAAATATAAAAGATTATTCTAGAGCTTCTCTGTAAATATTTTAGCAGATTGCATAAATATTAATAAAAAACAAGTTGCTAATACCTTAACTCTAGAGATAGGTGAATTATCTCTGACGAGCCATAAACCGTAGGTTCCACATCTCAAGCCGTAACCAGATTCTAGGTACAGGATTGTACAAGATTGTTATCGGCAGGAGGCTATGGGTGACTTCAAAGCTTCTCAATAGCAATTTGAACCATTCCTGCATGTGTACCAGGAATGCTTCCCAAGGAGCTGTTTGGTACCAAATCAGAAAAGGAATTCCGCAAGGCAGTGTCAAGCAGAGCAATAAGGAATAGGGCAGCACAGCAAGGTTATCTGAGATTAAAGGAAGCATCTTTGTCCCCGTATGACTCAGTCATTTCCTCTTTTGTCTTACTCTTGTAACCAATGGTTCATTGTCAGTTTTTGGGAATTCAGTAAAAGCTGAAGTTCCTTTGTTGTCAATAGAAGTTGAAGAATCTGTGTTTTTCAACATAAAACAAGATTTTGACATCTTGCGACATAGAAAATCCCGCACATAAGTTGAATAAAAAAAGAAGATGATCAAGTTAAATTGTGTCAGGCTCCTTAGGCAGGTACTCAGTCAAGGAGTCTGGTGGAAGTGTTTTAGGGTTTAACAGAGAGGAGGAAGGTGAAGAAGAAGAATAGGAAGGAGGTAGGAGGAAAATGGAAGTAGGAGAGAGAGAAGAGAGAATAGAGACGGCGAGAATATCTGAAAGATTGAGGAATTTGATTAGAGATTTTTTATATGATTCGTAATGAGACATTCTGCATACATGCCCGTCCCTTTTTTGCTGATTTCATCACAGAATAAGACAAAAGACAATAACAGAAAAGCAATAACAGGAAAGCAGGAAAACAAATAGGCCAGAGGCAGTACAGTAGTCAGGTCAAAAATCTAACTAATGTAGGATTATTGACTAAGCGCTTATTTAACCAAATAGTTTGACCAATTTACTGCAGACCTACTAGTGTCTCACTAGGTCACTGTTACAGGGCGTGGACACCTCTGGTAGACCTTCAGTGGCCTTACGCCGTGCTTGCAGGCATTAAGAGGAGCAAGAAGATGTGGAGGTTGGAGCAAGAAGAACATGACGAACATCAGCCCCTGACATTTGGGAGGGTGGGTTCATACTATCTCTGGTGCTTGTGGACAAGCATCATATGAAAGAGGGATCGATAGAATGGCCAAATAATCAGCAGAGGAAAAGAAGAAAGCTTGAACAAAAGAAGTGTCAATGCAGCCCTCACACAGGATGGAGGAAATCTGAGCTGATCTCATTTGCTTTTTAAGTTTAGGTCTAATTAGGAAAAACTTAATAATTAGGAGAAGAGTTTGGAATAAAATAGGAAACTATTTTACATTAGTTAGAAGTTATCAGTTTTGACATTCTCGTAAAAAATTTATTTAATTAGGACTTTGGAATAAAATAGGAAATCCTTATGATTTGAGAATTTTTATGTTAAGGAAAGCATAGCCTAGAGCTTCCCTATAAATATTTAAGCAGATTTGCATAAATAAAAGAGTAAGAGAATAATGAATTCAAGCAGGTTAGAGTACTTAACTCTGGAGATTGCCGGGTTTCTCCTAACAAGCATTGAACCCTAAATTCCATAGATCTTAACCCATAACCAGATCCTAAATATGGGACCATACCAATATTAATCTGATCATGCAAGAAATAGTTTCTTCTTTACATTTATTTATCAATTAACCGTCTATTATAATATAATGTTATTAATTTTAGATAAATATCAGAATAGACATGTGAACTACGATCTTAGTTGATTAAAACGTATTCATATTTTATAAACAGTTTAAACATATTAAATGTTTTTGAGTTAATATAAATTATATATAATAAACCTTATTTAACGAAGGTGTCTAAATGGGTTAGTATCTGGTTTCAACATTTTTTTCTGGTGTAACTTGACAGTTTTTCTCCTTGGTGATTCTTACAGTTATCTTGCAGCTATGGACTTCCAGGTATTTTTGCTTGCCTGAAGGTATGTACCTTTGTTTCAACTTATCTGCGTCTGTGTGTTTTCTTCCCTTAAACTGCCTTGTTTTCTAATGCATCTTGGAGAATAAGTAAAAAAAACTGTTTAAAATAGGCCTGCTTGCCAGCCTTGTCTTTGATTCATTTGGAGTAGTTTTTGCATTTCTAGGCCATTTTGCTTGGTTACAGCTTCAGGGGTGTGCTGCATGTGAGAATTCCTCATGAGTATTTAACTTTAAGTTAAATTTATTTGATAACTTCCTCAGGCAAATTGATTGGCCATGAATATTAATGGAGTGATAGTTTAGGTATTATGTGGGATGCTTCTAATTTATTGTTGTTCAGGGGGCTTCTACAGTGCACTTCCAAGAACTCAGTGCTGAAACTATCCGATGTACAACTATCCCAAATGTTCTTGCTAATCTTGAGCAAGCTCGGGACAGACAGAGTCGGCAGCCAGAGAGCCCCTTGACTCCATCAAGACAAGCTCTGGCTCCATCCGTTCATTTCTATGCTGGAAATTGGGATGAACTTCCTAATGTGTTGTCTGTTGTAAGGACCGAAGTTCCAGAAGTGACACAGGATGAGCCTTAGCTTTTCTGA